TCATAACACTGTTAATTCAATGTCTGTCATGTTTTCTGTCATGTGTCGTTACCCAAGTAACATTTTGCTGGTTACTGTTGGGAGCTGAGAGAATGTAATAATAATTTAACTGTTACGTCTTTACCTCATTGATAGTCCAACAAAGGTTCCTTAAACAGGTCAGTATATTCACAATCTATTTAGTATTCACCTTATGGATAATTGTTGAAAAACAATGGGAGGAGTTAACACGTGCACAATTTACCGCAGGTGGGTATATATAACAAGAAGACTGTGTACAGATGTGTACAGATGTGTGCTGCACGGTTTTATAGATCTGAATAGTTTAACATAAGATATACCTTTATTATAACCCCGTAGGAGAAATTCAAACCGAATGAAACTAGGTTAAACCTCTTTGAAAAGGAACCGATCTCATTAAATGAGACGTATTGGTATGTATGGTTTTACAGGGAGCTCACCCCACTTGTTGCCGACCAACACTGGACAAGCAGCATGTCGGGTGCTGTAGTCTCCCTCCCCGCTGGCAAACAGATTGTACCAGAACACCGCGGTGCCCTGGAATACACACAAACAACAAACAACAGAGGTTAGCAGTGTTGCAAACCCTCCAGGAATAGCCAGGAATCTCAGAACGCCACAGTCTGTCTCCTAAATTAATTTCCAAAGAAAGATTCTGAGAAGTATAAAATAAAACTTTGTTTCTGTAACAGGAATGAACAACACGTTGCTTATAGTACGTGATCCCATTTTGCATGGAAATGTTACCCTAATTGGAGGTTGTGTTGTGTGTACTGACAGGCACACCATTTTGTACAATTATATTTTATTTATTAATATTTTTACTGTGTACTATAATTCAAAACCAACAAAAACACCTGATAATCAGTTACAGCATCGAGTTGGTTATATAACATGTTTATTGTAATAAGTGGTGGAACGTAAGCGGTTACCTTTTGGGGCCAAACTGCTGCACCAACATCTGGGAATACTGTGGCTCCACCAGCTGCTACATCACTCATCTACAACAGAAACACAGAGGCAAAGAGAATTCAGTCTCTATCTGTTCTTTCAAATAATTCTGTCGTTCTACTAAATACATTTGTGGAAGCATGAGGGTGATGTGACTATAAGATTGGTTCCAGGGTGCAAAACACACATTTAATGATTCTGTATTTTGTGTCGCTTTTAACAGAAAATATCACTGGTTATATTTTTGTCCCATCTTTCCTTGTTCCAGCAAATCTAACATCCTCCTCATTGCATCGTCATAGAAAGTCCTGCTTTAACTCAGATGTTACTTTTGTGACAGCAGAAGTTTTGCACACTGGCAAACCCCGTAATCAGAGATGACAGATAGTCCTTGAGGTGTAATAACAGGGTGCCACCCTGAACCAAAAACCAAAGGTGAAAATTTATGGTGAGCCTCATTCTGTCATTTCACTGGCTTAGTCTGTATGTGTCTTTTCTAACTACGGGGAATACATTTTACAGAGAGTTTACTGCCCCACCTTGTTAAGGCCTCATTTTTATTAAACCCACCCTCAACATTGATAAGTTAAAACTAATGAGATTCCTTCAGTTACTATAAATAACTAACTCTAATTCTAACTCCACAAGGGCCCTGTGCTTGAGATTAACAATGGCTGTATCTTTTTCTGGTATATGCTGTAAAAGTGCTGTTAAAAGATGTCCATACATGTATATAATGAGTGTGTGATTGACTGTTATCTGTATCAAAATTGATACAGTACTTGGACAGGCACTTGGTTATCTTGCACTCTAGACTCATGGGACAGTATTCTTTCACATGATTTTCCATAGAATGTTTTAAAGCTTAAACAAATTGTTTATTTCACACTTTGTGTATTTTCTGTTTATGCGTGTGCTGTTTAATGATTCCTATAATGAGTGAACTATATTTATGGCTGCACCATTACTTCATTATGTCATTTTATACATATAGTTCATGGTGAGATATGTGAAATAAATAGGATCTTGAATAGAACTTAAAATAACGTTCCGTGGGTTTGAACAGTGATTATCCTCACAAGACGCATTTGTGAAAACAGACCCACCAGCATTTCTGACACGGTTGAAGGAGGTTTGGTCACAGTATACATCGAATTTAAAGTTAACAACATTGGAAGACTTTACTCACGTAGAAGAGCCATGTTGCTATGCGGTTCCCAGTGCCCAGCTCTTTAAAGGCATCTGGCTCATCTTTCTGTGGAGAGAGACAACATCAGATTGTTCCGACATTAACACAAACGTGCGTTTATAGAGATTACACCGTGTAAATCAACAAAGGGGCTTACCCTTCCAAAGTCAAAGTGAGGTTCGTATTGACCTCCAACGCCATAATTTGCAACCTACAGAGATGAAATATGATGTGAGTCTCACGACTGTACAAATCAGGTTTTCAACAGACTAACACACAAACACACACACATAGGGGCTTCTAGAGGGGCAGGGGGGGATTATTGTTAGAAATTATTTTTACATTTATATAAGAAATGTTAATTCAGTGAAGTTTCACCTTCTAAAAACTAAAATACAAATCAAAGAAGAAGAAAAACACTGTGTTTAATGTCCACAACATTCAACTAATGAACTAACTCTTTACCTGCAGCTCTTCTGCAGTGTCCATTTCCAGCCCTGTGAGATCTTCAATTCTCTGGTTGATCTTGTCAATCATTGGATCTTCATAGGCAGTGAGCCAAGCACTGGAATACAGGAGGAAAAGCAGAGCGATTGAGAAAGAAGAGGAACATGCTGTACAATGTGTCAGTGAGACACATGTTTG